TGGGGTTCGATAAGGGTCGAAGGGCCGCTGTGAACATAAAAATATGCTGAAGTAAAATGAACGGTTGGGATCGTTTATCATCCATTGTGTGCGCTGTCCCCCCTGGGAGGTGAAGGTGGAATTGTTGTGGTATACAAAATTGGAGGTCTCTGGAGGTGCTTGCAATGGTGCTGAATGATGCCACTCTATTCTACACCAAGTAACGCCGTGGTGTTCGGTAGGAGCCTACGGAAGGGATTTCCGTAGTAATTCCTAATCGCCCAATGTAGCATGGCTTCGCACTAAACTGGTTTGGTAAGGGCTATACTGGATCGCTGGTGAGACAAGGGGCCGTGTATGTAGTAGAACTTGAGGGGGATGTTGATAGACCTTGTGGAGTTGTAGGATGTAAATCCAACAACGTCCTGACGCCCGACGGAACAACCAGATACTCGAAGTGTTTATCCTTTTTACATAGTTTTTTAACATCACGAGAATTGTGGCTACTTAGAAAGAGAGCCCCTATCGAAGTTTTCGAGGAGAGCTGACAGAGGATCGAAAGAGAAATCTTATCCACCTTTAGTAGAGATGACAACTATGCTCGGAAGTTATAGAATCAAGGCACAAGAGATATCGATCATTTGGGCGCGCGCGGTTTTACGGTTTCGTGGACCTGGCGTCCGTGTTCACTAAGAGGCTTGCTTCTTCTACGTCATAACTGGAGAGAGGAAGGTTTTCGCTGGGAATTTTATGGACGGTGTGACACCTGTTGGCGCTTGCTGATCTTGCCCGATCGCTGGCTGCCAGTTTGGTGACCTCTTGTGACTTCAGGCACTCGTGAGGAGGACCCCGATATGGGGGCCATTGAATCCATGTGGGTGGCTTGTAACTCTCCGGGATTTGCTCTCATCGTATGTCGGGAGGATAGTGGCGGTCGGTGTCTCCTAGGTGGACTTTTAAACACGTCATTATCGTTTGTCGGTGATTTCCTTGTCTACAGGGCCGCTTAGTGTCAACGCAACTAGTGAGGTCTGGAATGAGCTACTGCTACAATAGCATTCCTACGCGGTCGGCACTACTCTCTACTGTTCTCACCCTGCTCCTCCCCACTGTAGACCTTCGAGCACACTGATGATGCTAAGTGGGGGGAGCGGGCATGGAGTTCAAGGTGAGGTAAGTATCATTTGATTGAGTTGACATAAGCTTGTTGAGATCGTCAGACGCAGGCCTAGTAAAGGAAAGGGGTTCAGAGATTGGCACCCTGGTGTCAAAGGCGACTACTACAGCAGTAGTAGTCGTGAGCAGTCGGTGACCAAGAGTGCCCGAGTGCTGGTCAGGTTCAGTAGGTGATACTAGAGATCCTTTGGCTACTAGGCAGAGGACGAGGTCCCGGTCGGAATCCAGGGATAGGCACTACGATAGGCGACGATGAGTGTAAGAAGCACTTATCAGTATCCTAAGATACAGTGCTTTTTATTATGACTGTTTTGTAGCTGTTGTGATGTCAGGTCGGGTTTCTAGTGATTCTCATAGTTTCGGTCTATTTCGTCTTTGTATTCCTCATGGCTCCGGGAAGGTGTAGTCTGTATCTCACTTAAGTTGTGTTGTCAAATGCTGGTCGATGAGAAGCGGGCGTAGTTGTTGTTATTGTTTCAGTTGGGTCCTTTTAGTCTCGTCACGCATCACCGTCTCGTTGTTATTCGTGGTATTTTCTGTGCACAATCCACGACTTTTATTCCGGTCAACGATGTCTAGCTAGGTTTCTGTGTAAACCTAGAGAAGCGCTTCGGCGTTTGTGGCCCATCTTGCGTTGTGGCGGCTGCGGTCATCCTGTTGGTCATCATAAAAAGCAGCGCGAGGTCGGCCGACCAAAGCGGCAAGTCGTGAAAGTGGGCGAGATGGACCCGCAAAAGATCGTTAAAGAAGAGCTGTCCGATGACGAGCTCGTCGATTTTGGTATACAGTTGGCTCAGCTTGCGAGTGTTGCTAAAAGCAACAGTAGGAAAGTATATCACCTCCATTTCGCTAAGGTGAGTCTAGAGATGGAGGAGTAGGGCGGGATGATGTGGTTCATTTAGGACTTCCTTATGGAAGCACTGGAGAGGCAACAAGGAGCTGTTGTTGCTGGAGGTGGTGGTCGTGGCTCAGTTAATGAGAGCTGCGAAGTAGAAGGCATTGTTGATCTGGGTAGGTGGGAGAGGTAGGTCTGGCTTGGTGGTATGATGATGTAGATGCGAGCATTGATGCTTCGGATAGTCTACGAGCACATTTAGCGGCAGTTCTTGTTACCTTGGGGGAAGACCCTAAAGTCGTGAGGGAGAAGTTGGGTCCATGCGAAGTGGAGGAGGAGAAGGAGCTGATAAAGGAAGAGGAGGGCATGCCCGAGGTGGGTCCTTGTAGGTGGTGTTGACTTTGTGAGGATGGTGTTAGGTTGGGGTCGCCACGGATAACGGTGAGGTTAGCGTAGGGGCGAACACCTCAGCCGCAGCAGTTCGGGAATATATAGCTTTTGATTCTCCTCACAAGCCGACCCCAATAACGGAGGTGGGTCTTCTTATGATGATTTCTAATACACTACTATAGTGCTCTCAGAATAAGCGTTCTTGCATATCGAGAGAAGCTATCAAAGGTGATATTTTCGCCGTGTTATTGTCTATACCGTAAATCGTCTTAGTCCTGCCACCACGGTCACCTGTTATCAAAGTCTCAGTTTCTGAGCGATGTAGGAAGGGCCCTAAGGAGAGGCAACGTGTGGAGAGTGTCGAGGTGGGTGTAGCAGGCTAGGGGGTCAGGTCGAAGGTGATGTCATGCTGTGATGGTAGGTTTTGGATTCGGGAGATCGCAGTGCGTTCCTGGAGCCGACCACACATTCACTGCAGCGTACGATGCTTTCGAGCAGTCGGAGTTATATTCCCCTTGGGGGGTTGTCTATTGAGGAGGAGGAAGACGATGACTTTGGGGTGATGATCCACCGGCTTGGTGATACTGTCATGGCAGCTTCCTGTTTAGGTCGGCTGTTATATGAAGTTGGACGCTGCTGCTGCTGAGAATAAGGGCGGGTCGTCGATGATGTGGAGCTCGCCCCCGTCAGAGGTAGTCGACCGGGGTAAGGACATGCCCCACGGGGCGTTGATCCTCTCGGTCATGCCCCCAGAGGTTCATGATGATGAGGGCCAACACGTACGACTG